CTTCCTACATAAAACAGACATATTGTTTAAAAAAACTAGAGTGTTTTACCTCTACAGCCGTAAATGGGATATTAGGCTGAGAAATAATGTTTAAGTTCTGCGTGCTGTGTTGTTGACGCCCCCTGCCACTACGGAGGTGAGATTGGACAGGATAACCTTTCAAAACACAAGACTTGGGTACCCCTTGACTGTCGGCGACAGCGGAGAGCAGAGACCTCCTGGGTTACCTCACGACGGTGGCGGACGATGGTAAGATAGCCCCAACGTTTTGGAAATATACACACACTTCACTCTGTCATCCAGCCTTTTCCTACATACCACAGACATAGTGTTTAACATGAGATTGAGAGTGTGAGGCCCACTGCCAACCAAAGCTCTGGGTGGTCCTCTTCACTCCCCTCACCTGCTTCAAACGCCCTTCTCTAACCATACACCTAAAAAAAGTCGATCTCCTAGGCAGGCCTCCCCCTGACTGGCGCTCCCCCTCTCCTCCCTCAACATAGCCTTCTCGATCCTACTTACTTTTTATTTAACTACTAGCAGTACCCGGCCACATGTTGCTGTGGCTCAGCAATGCATGGGCATTGCTGAGCCACAGCAACCTTCCCTGTCCCCCAGTCCTCCCCACCATTCCCCCTCACCCGTCTCCTCGGCCTCCCAACCATTCCCCACTCCACCGTCCCCTCGTCCTCCCCACCATTCCCCACTCCACCATCCTCTCTTCCTTCCCACCATGCCTCACTCCCATGTCCCTTTGTCCTCCCTACCATTTTCCATTCCCTCCATCCCCTCGTCTCCACCATCCAAAACTCCCCCTGTCCCCTTGTCCTTCCCCACCATTCCCCACTCTCTCGTCCGATGCCTTCCCAAATGGTGTGATGTTCCCATCAGAAAATTGTGAACATCAAGTGAACTGATGTTCCCATCACTGAAATATAAGAAAAACAGTTCAAAAATGAAATGAAAATATGAAAAAGTAAAAAAAAATAGCTATACTCACGAAATGAATGGTATGGTAAACAACACAGCTCTATTCCAATGCAATTCACACAAAATAATTAAATCAAAATGAAAATATATTAAAATCTATGAAAATTAAATTTAGCAATGCAATCAGAAACATTGAAATGTAATTGTAATATAATTAGTATAGCATGTGTGTTAACAGATGGTGCTGTTTTTCAAGAATTGCATAGTTTTACCTGTCACAGGTGTGGCATCTTTACTTATAATTACAAAATGAACGGTATGGTAAACAACAGCTCAATTCCAACATAATATCACACAAAATAATTACAAAAAAAATTAAATAAATCAAAATCTATGAAAATAAAATTTATCAATGCAGTTGGAAACATTGAAATGGAATTCGTGACATTCAGTGTAGCGTGCATGTTGATATTAAGTGCAACAGATGGCGCTGTTTTTCAAAAACGCATATTTTTACCTGTCACAGGTGTGGCATCTATATAGTAGGTATATAAAAAGACGCGCCTATTCGAATGGAACGTTGTGTCAGAATTTCAAAGCAATCGGTAAAGAACTTTGGGAGATTACAGCATGTGTTGCTCTTACATCCAACAGATGGCGATGTTTTTCCAAAAAATCATGTTTTCTCCGGTCACAGGTAAGGCATAGATATAGTAGGTATATAGAAACAACACGCGCCTATTCAAATGCAACATCGTGCCAAAAATTTCAAAGCAATCGGTAAAGAAGTTATGAAGATTTCTCTCACATGAAAATCACATGAAAAACTCAGTTTTTCATAAAAGGCATGTTTTTTTCCGTCACAGACGTGACATCAATATATTATGCATATAAAAACCTGCTCGGATGCGAATGGAACATTGTGTGAAAATTTCAAAGCAATCGGTGATGAACTTTCTGAGATTAGCGATTTTGAACAAACGAACATTTCCATTTTTATTTATATAGATAGATTTATATATAACTACATATGTCGCTTAACGCTACGCTATCTACATGTATTTTTTCATATTACACACCTGCACATATGCAACACACACCTACTAACACATCTCCCCCTTTTCCCCTCCACCCACATCCCCCTCACGGAGCCAGTCCTACGCATTATTCTACCTGAGGAAGTGTGCCGCACGGGCGGGGGCACTCATCTCACCCTTGGAGATGATTTCCACGCCCTCACCTGTGTCTGGTGTGTCCAACCCCCCCTTATCCTCTCTGCCCACATCCCACACACAAATCCAGTGCTACACATTATTCTACCTGAGGACTAGTGCCACGCGGGCGGGGCAGGCGCGAGCGCGGGCTACGCTCATCTCACTGCAGGACCACACGTGCGCGCACCTCCCCCTCCCCCAGGGTCCCCCCCTAATCCTTGAGGACTAGAGCCCTGTGCAACACCTGAGCAGGGGGGGCCTAATTGGTTCACCTGCTTAGGTATTGGGCAGGGTTCTGGTCCTCGTTTACACTACTAGAATTAAGTTATGTTCCTACAACTAAGAAATGATTCCCTCCTAATTGAGGGAATCATTCACTATCTCACCTTCAACAATCTTAGTAAAATCAACGTAACATAGTTTGGTCAAAATAAATCCTGCCTTACAAACCTGCTCACATTTTTGGAAACGTTAACCGTTTATTCAGACAAAGGACTTACAGCAGATGTAACACACGTGGTCTTCGCTTAAGCTTTCGATAAGGTACCAAATGAAAGACTTTAAATTAAATTACAAGAACATGGAATAAATTGTGTTATACTAGAATGGATATAATAGTGGTTAAAGAAAAAATAGCAGAGGGTCGTCCTGACCGTAAATGAATCTGACTAGATAAAAGAGGTAAGTGGGGTACCAAAGAGCTCCCTTTTGGTCCCATCCCATTTTGTATTATACATCAATGACATAGACAAGGATATTACAACCCACATCCTCAAATTTGCAGATGACACTAAGATTTATGGTAAAGCAGGAAGTGACAATGATAGAGGGTTTACAAAGATCTCTACTTCAACTCCACAAAAGATCAGAAGACACGTAAGTGCTTTTAATTATTAAAAAATGCAAGACCTTGTTTGTGGGACATAGCAGTGCACATCACAATTACCTATCAACAACATTACCTTGTAGCAGATTGATGACGAAAACGACATTGGAGTTAGAGTCTGCCAATTACTGAAATTTTCAGACCACTTTTTTAAAAGGTCAAATGCAACACAAACTTGAAGCAACGGTTTCAAACTCAGCAACCTACAATGTAAAACAGAAAACAGAAGCTGCTTGTTCACCCACAGGAGTAAAAGCTCATGGGACCTCATAACTGCTGAAGCCGTAAATGCCAAAACACTGATGCAATTCTAAATCCAGCTTCATAACATCTCCAGGCTCTGTCAACCAAATGCTGTCTGCCCTTGTCGAGACCATTTTCAGATACTTAGCAATAGGTTTAGTTCAGAATCTACTTTAGCTGCATTCAGAACCCTATATGGAGATTTGAAACTTACTGCTTAATATATACTTCACAGGCAGGTAAATTTAATTATTAATATCTGAATAATTAAGAGTAACGATGTTAATTATAAATGTGTGTGAATGTAATTGAAAATAGAATGGTAATAATACTACCTAAAATGTACTTTACAAACAGGTAAAGGTCAAATTAGTTATGGCTAAAAAGGAGTAAATCTATAAAACGTTTACAAATTTACTTACAAGAAATTGCAACAAATTACATAAAGTTGCAACTAGGTACTTAAACGAAAAAGGGTGGAAAAATAATATATATTCTAATTCTGTAATACATAAATAAATGTGAAAGAAAAAACAATGATGATAATTAACATGAATGTAAATTATTAATAAATTAATATCTGATGAGATAACTAATGTGGCTATTGAAAGGTGGCTTAATATAGAAGCAAAGATTATTAATTGTCATAAATGAAACACTTAATATGTACAAGGTCGGCATATTAATTATAATAATATATAAGTAAGGAAAAATGGGTTTTGCATTTAAGGTTCAGTATACACAGAATGAGACTGCACTCTGAAGCTGCAATAAAATAGAGATTCAGGGAGAGGATAAACTACAGTACATACATTATTAAACTACATTAAGAGGATTAAACTACAGCTAATTAGTTTAGAGGATTAAACTACAGTTAATTATCACTATTTGTACAAATGTTTCAGCCTATGGTATCATTCGACTGGATAGCAAATATACCTAAAGGGGCTGTTTTCATCTCAGAAACAACACAGTTTTTTTAAATCAATGGACTTATCAGATAGTTGGAAAGTTTCATCTGGCTGGTCTATGCATTCCCCGTTATAAACTACTGACGTACTATAATGGGGTACGTGAACCCCTGGTTGAAAACCGATGTACGTGAATAATATTCAGAACTTTAAAGTTAGATATCCTGCAGGACACATGTACGATATCGAACAATGCAGATTATGATGTTTATTTGTATATGTATACTGTCTATAATTCTTATTATGATGTCTTATTGTATATTTTTATAAAATTAGCAAACTATTCATTGCTCACAACAAAAGTACAAAAGAAGTCTACTGCATATGCTAATATGTCATTATTTGTCTTAATACATCTGGTCCCTGACTCAGAAAGTGGGTTTTATACATGTTATAATACAAATCATAAACACATTTTAATATTATGCACTGAGTGTTTCTTCATATGTAGGCCAAGACTAGACTCTGATTGTCATAGTTTTATACATAGTTAGATTGAAAAAACACAAAACAATGAAAATTACCATATTTGTATATATTTTGTGACGAATTGATTGTATGGAACATATGATACTTATCCTAAATCACAGGGCTTAGGGTTCGAATCCAAGGAGAAACATGCCTTTGCATATATTTTTCCATTCCCTTTCCGATTTAAATTAAAAAAAATGCATGTGAATGTTGAATTGTCTATAATATTGCAGTATGAGATAATATTATACTTTGCAAATAAAGATAAACAAAAGGCAGACTTACAAGAATGAGCGAGGCACCGAACACTACCACCCAGCCCCAGCCGCCGTCTGGTGCTACATCCTTCTCCTCCTTCTCCCCGTCTCCATTACTTCCAACTTCTCTTCTCTTCCTTATTATTTCTTCACCTGAAAGGTCACATTCACTAAAGCTGGGCAAGTTCGATTCTTCATCTTCATTACACCTGTGGTTGTTCCTCATTGTTTCTAAGTTGGATGCAAAGCAAATGTACACTCAATGTTCACATGACTGGGCCTCCACTGCATTTTTCTTAGTGCTACCATTTGCCATTTCCTGAAATTTTAGAATTATAATTATATTTGTTGTGTTTCTTGCGTCCCCCTCCCCCCATCACTCTGTTTGTCCAATTGTTCTTCGAGGATTACAGCAATGTTATACGTGCCCAAAAGTGCCTCAACAAGCACACTGTTGGTGAGGACGATCTCTGAGGTCTCTTGTAATGAGGATCTTACTGTATCTGTTATTGATATAGATATATATATATATACATAAAAATGAAAATGTTGGTTTGTTCAAAATCGCTCATCTCCGAAAGTTCTTCACCGATTGCTTTGAAATTTTCACACAACGTTCCATTTGCATCCGAGCAGGTTTTTATATACATACTATATCGATATCACGTGTGTGGCAGGAAAAAACAGGCTTTATATGAAAAACTGTGTTTTTCATGTGCTTCTCATGTGAGGGAAATCTTCGAAACCTCTTTACCGATTGTTTTGAAATTTTGACACAACGTTCCATTCGAATACGTGCGAGTTTTTATATACCTACAATATAGATGCCACATATGTGACAGGTAAATATATGATTATTTTAAATAGCGCCATCTGTTGCACGTAAGACCAACACAAGCTATACAAAATATGTTACGATTCCATCACAATGTTTCGGATTGCATTGATAAATTGAATTTTCATAGATTTTGATTTATTATCATTTTGATTTAATTATTTTGTGTGACATTGCACTGGAATTGAGCTGTGTTGTTTACCATACCGTTCATTTCGTGGGTATAGTTTATTTGTTTTTTATTTTTTCTTTTCGTTTTTTTAACTGTTCTTGTTATTTTTCAGTGCAATTGGTGGTGATATTGAGCTGTGTCGATTGATCTGCGTTTGAATTGAAATATTTCGTTAGTATTTTTTGTTTTTGTTTTGAAAACATGAAAATGGACAACACGTTTATTTCACAGCTGCAAATGTGCAACAAACAGCTATGAATCCACCGGCTACAGCGTTAACTGCTTGCTTCACGTTATGTCAAAATGACGTGTTTGGGAAAACAAGGCAGTATTCGGAAGTGCCTATGTAATACATGTGGAATGCCAGTAGAAAATCATTTGAACGACGCAAACGAGGAGAGCGAGTCGATGGACATCTTGGCATATTCAAATAAACTACGATAGGCAGACTGTACACCATGCATCCTAATCAGGATGAATGCTTCTTTCTTCGCATGCTGCTGGTAAATGTGCCTGGTCCAACGTCTTTCCAGCAATTGAGATTTGTCAAGTGGCATGATTTGTCAACATGCCACTTCCCATAGTGCATGTCAAGCTCTGAATTTATTGGACAACGATCGGCATTAGGATGACGCGTCCAACACATCACATCCAAATCAAATTCGTTCATTGTTTGCAATCATATTGACCTCCGGCTGTCCGTTATCTCCAACAGAGTTATGGAATAATTATAAATCGCACATGGCTGAAGATATTATCCGTCGAATACGCAAAGAAAATTCAAATATGAACATGAATTTTACGGCAAAAATCTTCAACGAAGCATTAATAATGTTTGAAGACTTGTGCTTAGAAATTGCGAACAAAGTTTTAAATCAATTGGAAATGCCATCATCGAATCAATCTGCTGCTGCTTCGTTCGATGTAGAATTTCGTCGTGAACAACATTACAACACGGGCGATCTGTTGTCGTATGTTTAATCTAATATTCCTAGGCTAACGCTTGAACGAAAAGACATTAACAATCATATAATTCAAACTGTCAATAACGGGCTTGAAGAAATCTTCTTAGGTGCACACTGAGGAACTGGTACAACATTCCTAATTACATTGATTCTGGCAGCATTTCGATCCCAAAATGGCATAACCTTAGCTCTTGCATCGTCCGCAATTGCTGCGACATTGCTGCCAGGTGGAAGAACTGCTACTTCGACTTTGAAATCGCCATTGAACATGCAATTCATTGAGACTCTCACGTGCAACATTTCTAACGCATCCGGCATGGGAAAAGTATTGCAGAAATGCAAACTTATTGTTTGGGATGAATGCACAATGCCCCATAAAAAATTGTTCGAGGCTCTTGATCGATCATTGCAAGATTTGCGTGGAAACATCAGACCATTTGGGAACACATTAATATTGCTTGCAGGAGATTTCAGGCAAACATTACCTGTAACTCCTCGGTCTCCACCAGTGGACGAAATAAATGCTTGCCTGATATACTCTACTTTGTGGCACCACGTCAAGACATTTAATTAACTACAAATATGTGTGTAGTTATGTAGCTACTGGAAAACGATCCATCAGCTGAGATATTCTCACTTAAATTTTTAGAAATTGGGAACGTAAACGTGCCGGTTGATCTGACCTCAAGACGAATTTCGTTGTCTCATAACTTCTGCAATTTAGTGACGTCAAAAGATGAATTGGTTGAAAAAGTATTTCCCAATATTGAAACCAATTACAAGAATCACGATTGGCTGAGTGAACGAGCTATTCTTGTGGCCAAGAACAAAGCGTCTACGACCTTAACAATATTATTCAGTATAACATTCAAAGCGAGGCAGTCACATACAAGTCCATCGAAACTGTTGTGGCAGCAGATGAAGCGGTTAATTATCCAACAGAATTTGTTAATTCACTTGATCTTCCAGGGATACCATCACACGTACGACAATTGAAGATCGGCTTGCCAATTATCATGTTGCGAAACATCAACCAGCCAAACCTTTGCAACGCCACGCACCTTGCAGTAAAAAAATTAATCAGCGACGTCGTAGAAGCAACAATCTGACAGAACCTTTCAAAGGGGAAGATGTCCTCATTCCTCGCATTCCTATGACTCCAACAAATATGCCATTTCAATTAAAGAGATTATAATTTCCAGTTCGATTGGCGTTTGCAATCACCATCAACAAAGCTCGGGGCCAATCTTTAGAATTGTGCAGTTTATATCTAGACACGGATTGCTTCTTACGTGGACAATTATATGTTGAGTGTTCTAGAGTCGGCAAACCAGACAATCTCTATATCTCCACAGACAATGGAACAACAAAAAATATTGTATACCCACAAGCATTGTGAAATTAAACATATTAGAAACGTGCGCTTTCTATTTTCTTTCTTTCCATTTAACCAGACTGAGCCACAGCAACGCGTGGCGGGTACTGCTAGTATATAAATAAAAATGGAAATGTTGGTTTGTTCAAAATCGCTAATCTCCGAAAGTTCTTCACCGATTGCTTTGAAATTTTCACACAATGTTCCATTCGCATCCAAACAGGTTTTTATGTGCATACCATATTGATGTCACGTCTGTGACGAAAAAAATCCTGTTTTTTTTTTTAAACAGCGCCATCTGTTGGATGTAAGAGCGACACACTGATATGGTCATTATATTTATATTAATAGTGGGTCAGGTGAATACAAATGAATTGAACAATGAGGTCCGGTGTAAAACGTGGGAATACGTTGGGTAAACATAAGGGTAAAGAGTAAGGCATAAAGGAGAAAAGAAGCTTAGGATCAGAAGGCTGAATAGGGTACACACAAAGAGTAATCAAGCGTAGTGGGCACTGTTCGTCGAGCAGTATCTTCTATGTTGGCATCTTCACGTTCTGGTCTTGTTCTTACTCATGGCAGTTAGAGTGAATAGTTCCATAATTTGAGTACTTATGGTAGGTTGTTCTACTTTTATGTGGAGTGCTTCAAGAATTTGTAATCTTCTTACATCTTGGGTTTTGTCTTTTATACAAGTGTTTTTATTCAATATTTCTCTTGTTTGGGTGATGTCATTGGCTTGTCTCATGTGATTTCTGGGGACACTGGATTGAAGATGACAAGTCAAATGCCTCGTCAGCTTGGCGGACATTACCTATGTACTGAAATAGAAGTTGAAAGGGTTCTCCGTTATCTTCGGGCTATTTTTGATAAGGAGGTCGGTAGTCTTCTTTGTTTTGTAGAATATGATCAGGTCTATGTTTTGGTTAGGAGTAATTCTTTTTACTTCTTTACCGATTATTTCTTTCATTATTCTTTCTTCTTTTTTATGTTCACTGTGCATAGTTAATTTGTAATACAATTTTATTGGAGGTGTTGTGGATTCTGTTTTAGGTTCAGGATTGTACCATCGGTCGAGGTGTCTTCTTATAGCAGTGTTTATTTCCGTGTTGCTATATCCATTGTTCACAAATACCTGAGTTATTCTTTCAAACTCTCTACTCACGTTGCTCCATTCGGAGCAGTGTATAAGCGCTTGACGAATATAAACATTGAGAACACTGGTTTTGTATCTTTATGGGCACTCACTCTCACATTCAGGCATAATCCTATGTTGGTAGGTTTAGTATATACGTTGGTGCTTAAAGAGGTTCCTGTTTTTGTTATTAGTACATCCAAGAATAGTTAATTGTTATTTTCACTATTTTCATGTGTAAATCGGAGTATAGTCTCTCTTTCTCTAGATGGCTGATTAGATCAATTAGTTCATCTGAGTATTTTACTATGACGAATATGTCATGCTCATAACGGCAGTATACACTTGGTTTTTGTCCACTACTGAAGACTCTATCTTCGATGGCTCCCATGTAAAAATTAGCGAATAACACTCCTAAGGGAGAGCCCATTGCTACTCCGCCTATTTGTAGAGACATGTCCCCTTGCGGACTGATGAAAGGAGCTTCTTATGTACATGCCTCGAGAAGACTCTTCAAGTGTGGCTCCGGTATGTCTAATTTGGGAGTGCTCTCGTCTCTGTATACTCTGTCCAGTATCATTTCTATGATGGTGTCGACTGGGACGTTGGTAAATAGGGATTCGACGTCCATGGAAGCAATGATTCCATCGGGCTGTGTAGTTTTTATTAATCCTAAAAAATCTGTTGATGATTGTAGACTATAGTTGCTTGGAGTTTTTGGAGTTAGGAGTTCATTTAATCTTTTTGGCAGGTAATAGGTTGGAGTTGGTATTTGACTAATTAGTGGACGTAGTTGGTTACCTGGTTTGTGTGTCTTAACATTGCCATAACCATATT